CTATGACCCAGCGATCGCTCCAAACCCTGCCTCAGGCTGCCCCTCATGTTCACCCTCTGCGGTATGCGCATCGGCAGGACAATACCCTGCATTGACCTACGAAGACATGTCATGAAATGTGAAGCTACGCTAATGTAGAAGGTGCTTAGAACAAATGCGCGATAGCTACCCCACTTCGCCGTTGGGTAGCTTCGAAGCTATCAACGGCGTCGACCCTCAACGTCATCCCCGCGGTTGCATATCTTAACTCCGGAACCGCTCTCGTGCCCAACTTGCTGCGATACCTCCCCTCCAACACCAAATACTTGCGGGTGACTGCCTTTGTCTCCTCTGCAATCAGCTCAAACCGACATCATGGCGACATCAACGTGGGAAGAGACCGCTAGTAAGAAGCGCGAAGCTATTTTGGCTGCCATACCCTCGGAATGGCGACTAGAGAAATTGCCATCGGTAGAAGAACAGGTCGATGTCACAGACTATGTGAAACAGTACTTCAGCAAGCAAGAGCTCGACATCACTGAAAGCAGCGCCGATGTGATCGCAAAGACCGTGGCTGAGGGGAAGTGGACTGCTGAAGAGGTCACGAGGGCATTCTGCCACCGAGCTGCAGTTGCGCATCAATTGGTACGTCGCACATCCGATTCATGCAGTGAATGATGCTAAATGGACAGCTGTCATGTCTTCACGAGATCTTCTTCGATGCCGCCATCCGGGACGCAAAAGAGCTCGACGCGTACTACGCAAAACACAAAAAGACCACCGGTCCCCTCCATGGCGTACCCATCTCACTCAAAGACCAGTTCCATGTCAAGGATGTCGAGACCAGTATGGGCTATGTCGGCTGGATTGGCACCTTCGAAGGCAAGAAGGGTACTGGGAAAGAGAAGGTGTTCGAGAGTGAGATGGTGAAGATGCTGCGTAAGGCGGGAGCTGTGTTGTACTGCAAGACCAGTGTGCCGCATACGCTGATGAGCGGAGAGACGATCAACAACATCATTGGGTTTACCCTGAACCCGAAGAACAGGAATCTCACCGCTGGTGGTAGCTCTGGTGGCGAGGGCGCGTTGATCGGGATGAGAGGATGTAAGTGGACCACCGTCTGAGCTATGGCACTCACTATGAACGTTCGCGTTTAAGACGAAGAGACCGTGGGTCGCTGACATCGCACAGCACCACTAGGATTCGGTACCGACATCGGCGGCTCCATCCGCATCCCCGCCGCCTTCAACGGTCTCTACGGCATCCGCCCCTCCACAGGCCGCCTCCCCTACGAAGGCATGGCAAACTCCATGGACGGCCAAAACACCGTCCTCTCCGTCGTCGGACCCCTCGCAACAAACGCAGCCTCCCTGCGCCTCGCCTGTCAAGCCCTGCTCGAACAAAACCCATGGCTCCACGACCCCCTCGTCCACGAAATCCCATGGCGCCCGGCCCAAGAAGCCGAGGTGAAGTCCGTAAAGAAGCTCTCCTTCGGTCTGTTAATGACGGATGGTGTCGTAAACCCCACGCCCCCTGTCCGCCGCGCTATTGAAACTGTTGTTGAGGCGCTGCGTTCTGCTGGTCACGAAGTCATAGACTGGACACCACCGTCTCATCGTACTATTAATGACGTCGGCTTCCGCCCCTGGATCTACGACGCGGGTAAAGACGTTAAATCCGCGTTTGCGCTCTCCGGCGAACCCATGGCGCCGCAAGTTACGTTTTACCAAGGTGTCGAAAAGGAGTTTTCGGCTACGGACATCGCGGCCACGAATGTGGAGTTGAGAAGCCTGAAGAAGGAGTACATGGAGTATTGGAATAGGTAAGTCCCGACTGTACGAAGTGCAAGTGAGACATATACTGATTTCGTGCTTCTACGTCTGCAGTACTGTCGATAAGACGAGTACGGGTAGGCCCGTCGACGCGGTGATTTGTCCGCTTGCGCCTTTTCCGGCGGCGAGGAGAGAGAGGTTCAAGTATTACGGGTATTCGACTTGGGTTAATGCGCTGGATTATACGAGTGTTGTTGTGCCGGTCACGACTGTGGATAAGGGGGTTGATGTGAAGGAAGAGGGGTTTAAGGCGCTTGATGAGCAGGATAAGAGTATCCAGGATGATTGTAAGTGCGCGCGGAGAAGAACAGAATGCGAGCAGAGGAAAGAGTGGAGTGCTAACGTGAGTGCAGATGATCCCGAGATCTATGATGGTGCGCATGTTAGTGTGCAGCTCGTTGGACGGAGATTGCAAGAGGAAAAGATGATTGCTGTTGCGGAGCTTGTAGGTAGTGTCCTCCGAAAGTAGGGATCAGGGTACGTTCCTTTTATCATCCAACAGGATTTGGTCGCATAATCATGGTGTGCAGCACAAAACGAGCACGTTCAGTCCCCAGGTCTTTCAGAATTACGCTTTCTATGAAAACCGACAGGCGGCGAAGACCAATCTTTACCTACTCATCCTTCCATTGTATCTCCCGTATTTCCGATCTTGGCCTGGAACGCATTGCCGGAGCTGTAGGACGATTGCCGACGACGAGCTATCGCAATAGCTTCTGAGCCTATCTTTTGTCTAATAGAAGCACGTCTACGGCAGCGTCGTCTGGATGATGGCGCTCTCTGATGAGGTTTTTGGACCTGTAACGTCTACCTCGAAAGTGCCGTAGTGCCATGGAACCAGGTATAGCACTCTCGGAAGCAATCAAGCGATGCGCAGATCCAACAACATCCGCCGTCATTCGTATGTACCGTTTCTCGTTCCACATGTGATACGACTGCCCACCCTGTAACGTCCAAGGCCCCGACTTGGTTTGTTGTTCGAGCTCATTTTGATACGGAATAACTGCTGTCCCCAGAGATTTTGGCCTCATCTTCCACGCTTGTTCCCGTTGCTGGCACGGACTTCCCTCACACAACAAACACGTTGTCGTCATGTAAGCAAACGTAGCTCCTTCCTCCGAATCTACTAGAGTCTGTGCCCAAAGGTGCTCATCTTTACAGGGAACTTTGATTCCTCGAAGGAAGTCGCCTTCTCTTGGCCACCCAATCTTAATATGCGTCCGTGTCTGATTTAGTCCGGTTGGCTCGAGAACCTTCAAAATGCGATGGACAGTTTCTAACAAGGTATCGCAAACCCCGGGTGAGTGGCGTCGTAGCTCAAACAACCATTCGCGAACATCGCTTCTGCGCACACCATTCAGAATGTTATACTTGGCGTTCCAACTATTCCAATCAGCTTCACCCATATAGGTTATGCAGTACTTCGGCATTAGATCGCCGAGAAGTTCCTGTAGCGGTATTCTGCGGGCTACGCCAGTACAGCAACTTAATTGGACGCCCACATAACACCCAAGGAACTCTATCATGTCGGTACGATCTTGTCCAAGCTGATATTGCTTGAGCCATCTTGCTGGGACCCTGGTCCATACTTGCATGACCTGGAGTGCAGCATGGTCTGGCCCGACCTGCAGTCCGAGTTGCCTTTGGTTCGGATCCCATCGCTCGGGTTCGACTGCTAGATACACTAGAGCGCACGATGCTCTCCATGCTTGCCAGGGAAACGAGCACTGCGTCCGATTCTCTGTGACTGACTCCCCTACGGTGATGTTGCTCCCGCAATCGAAGTCTGCCGCGTGGTCGAGTTCGCTTGAGCCGGACCCAGCTTCCCAATGGAACCTGTTATTGACCTCGTCTTTGAGGTATATAACACCACCCCCTATAAGGATAGCCTGTAGCAGGGACTCATCCTTTCCAGATGGAACAAGTCGTCCTGGTCCCCAAGTGTACAAGATGTCATGCGGCGTTGCTTCCACGTGATGCTCGTTCGCGTCCGCAAAGATACTATCGAGTCCAAGTTGCGACAGTATAGGGGATCTCTTAGCCAATGGGTCCTCCCAAACGAATTCATCCGTTTCTATGTTCTCTACCGGCCATTCGTGTAACATGCTGAAGGTGATCAGCGGCCCTTCGACCATCTGACCCAGGCAGGTCAGCTTCAAAAGGCGAACTGCGATGCGAGGACGGAGCTGCCATAACTCCTCACCAAGGATGCAGTCCCCTAGTAGTACGGACCGCTCTTGCGAGTGATTGGTGAAAACCGATTCGATAGGCCCTACGTGTCCCTGGCAGAATGACACAAGTCCGACACACAAGAACTGCGCAGCTAAACAGCACACATGCAGAGACTCTTCGCTTGTGTAGAGCCTCGTAGGATATGCAGCATCATTGGGCAGAAGCGGCCGTATAATTCCCCAAGCGATGTGCAACAGCTTCGTTAGATCGAGCGTTTCGGATAAGACGATTGACGGAAGTCGGTCGAGTTCCGTGCGCAGAGCGATAGCTAGGGGGATATCGACCCTCTTAAGCTCAACGTTGCTGGGTGAGGAGCTGGTCGGTGCAACGCAAGTTCGAGCGATGGTGAAGTGATCGAGACACATATTGGCACTTCGGAGGGCTCCAACCGCTTTGCAAAAGTTTTTCAGAACACGTCTTAGTCGAGAGACTACCGTAGAGATGACTCCAACATCCTGTGCAGAGCTCGCGTAGGATATGTATGAGGTCGAGAAATTATGCTCAAAGATTACTTTGCCATTCCAATCGTGTAAAGACCGAGACGTGGGTGCGATACCGCCAAGGCCACAAAACTTTTGGATCAAAGTCGTAACATCGTGTCGCTTGGACATCCATGGAGAGCTCAGCGGGGTAGTAACATTAGAATCCAGGGGCGTCCGTGCCAGACTCTGTGAGTCGAGGTCCTGAAATAGTTGATCTGGGGGATCACAATAAATCCATGGAGCATCATTTGCCTCCTCGGTGAGAAGCCCAGCAATTTCGGACCGGCTATGACCCACATCAATAAGCTCATGCAACCAATCATACTTGTCTCGAGCCACGTTATCGAACTCGTGTTCCAAGAGCTGTCGCACGGCATTCAAATCCCGACGCTCCAACGCTTGTGCTAGAACCCCCGGTGGATAGCGATCCTGTGGTGAATGCGGTTCGCGGACATCTGTCATCGCAAAAGACTAATTAGCCTGCTTGTGGCACTCGACGGTACATATTAGACTGACCTGAGAGGGACTGGCGGTCCACGGATTCGTCGAACCCCAGAACCACGTCGCTATCGAGCAGCCTTGCTGACACGACGTAGAACGTGTCCAAGTGTGTCTGCAACTGGCCGGGACGGCGCCATGTCAGTTCCACAGCGGTCTTGACAGTCACCCATTTTGCCACTCCAAAAGATGTGTATACCGGTACAGACTTGTCCACCTCGAATTGGCCGGTCTTAAGGCCACGACCATACACCACTCCATCGCCAATTAGGTTGTACCTTCCTGGCGCGCGCCTTGCACTGACTGGCTGATCCACGATATCGTCGTCGTCGCACGAGAGGAAAGATATCTCTTCCATATCGGCGACCAAGGGACCGAAAGCGTATGACACTTTGTTTGTGCTGGTGGGGGGAGTCAGAATGCTAAGTTCTGCAACCTGGAAATCGTGCCGTGCCGAGACATGTTGTAGAGAGGAGTTGCGAGGTTGTGCGCGTGGCAGGTTGGCTTCGTTCTGGTGCTCGAATGTCGCCTCGGGAGTTGGTTGAGGTGGGTACAGCCCTATGTACCGCTCAGTCGCTGCACGTATGTCCTCATCTCTGAGGTAGTCCATCAAAAGCTCCATGGCCTTGACCCGATAGCCATCGAGGAGCTTTTGCGCCAAGACATAGCGATCGGCCATTGCGCGCGATGTGCCCAGGTGAAGTGATCCTATCGCACTCAACCCTGTACGTGCGCGCAACTTCAAGATGCGCACAATAGCGCCGGGTTAGGCGCACGACCAATGCGACGCTCTACTTGGAAGGCATGATGCGTAATGTGCTGGCGACGCTGGTCGTGTGGTGAATCGTTGTTGCCGTGTAATTGCGATGGAGTAACTGTCGATGTTCGCATGAGCCCTGCGCGCCGTAGAAGGATCAAGTGGGGTAAGTCTCCAGCTTGCGTATCATCAACGCGTTCGGACGTGGCAAAGGCGTTGCTTACATATCCTTGTGAGACGCTATGCTGCTTGCAATTGAGCGGTAGCAATGCGGCACATCTGGAGAGCGGGACCATCACCGCGATTACGCCTATGCGTGTCGGGCGATATGTAGAAGCACTCGAAGAAAGCTATCCCGCGTTTGATACAGATAAGTCGGTCACGCTGTCAGAACACGTCAGGCTAATGTGTCTGTCGCGATAACAGAGGTTCAACAAGCGCATTCCCCGCAAGGTCCCACCCACAAGGCTTCAGCGGGGACGAGTTCCTTCAAGCAGTTCCGCCGCCAGCGCCGACTGCGCCGTTGCATCCATGCCGACCACCATATCAGCCGCCCTCCCCTGATGTTTAACGGGCGTTCGAGCGCGTGGGCATAATGCGCGAATTGCAATGCATGCGAGAGTTCGAGCCACCCGCCCAACCTGCACCATCAGCGCCCGCGAATCACGGTCAACAGAGTGACGCACCCAGACCCATTGCAAACCAAGGCGATCCGAGCGACAAATTCCGAGTGGAGGGCGTCTGGGCCAGGATGGCAATCAGCATGTCACTTGATCTCGGCGGATCGGGAGAGCAGTTCTTCCAAGCCTTCCAGCATTGGGCGACAGAACGGAAGTGCGGTGACAACCTGGACCGCCAGGGATTGTCGATGCTGTTAAGAGCGGACGGGAACGTTCCCGAGAAAGAAGCATACTACCTCCGTCTTGATCAAGGTGAGCTGGAGAAGCGCTGGAAGATGGCCGTGAAATGGATTTGAATGAACAAAAGCCCGGAAGAGCCGCACCTGTTTGCGACGGTCGAGATCACGGACGGGTAACGAGCTTGCTGTCGCACGATTCCGCCATAACCCGTCGTGCTACTAGTTTCACAGAGACAGGATGAATCGGCACAAGACAAAGTTCTATAATGCGCAAGTTAGCGTTGTTGCGCGCGACAAGCTAAGCGCACGACTTTTAGGCTATCGCGTAAGGCAACTAATCTTAAGAAGCGCATCGCGACTAGAACTAAGATAAGTTTAGAGAATGCTATTCTACGTGCTATACCTACCTAAGAGAATGTCTTAGAGCTACTAGGTCTAAGTAATTTTTAGTAAGAGTAATAAGTACTAATAAAAAATAAAGAGTAGCTCTAAAGTAGTAGCTCTAAGGCTTTTAAACTTTACTACTTAAGAGTCTAAATAAAATCTAAGTAAGCTATTTTATATAGAATTACTACGTAAATTTAATACTATACTTAGCTTATTAATAGCTACTTATATTATAAAGTTATAGAATAGAGAAGTTTAGAGCTAAATTTTAAAGTTTTTTATATAATTACTATACTTACTACTAGTATAGCCTATATATAGCTAGAATTTAGCGCTTATAGCTAAATTTTAATATCTATAGCTAAATTTTAGGCTTAAATTAAAGCTAAAATTAAATATTTATAGTTAGAATTAGTTACTAAATTAAGTACTTAAAATAAATACCTTTATAGCTAGAGATTAGTACTTTTATAGCTAAAAAAAAGCACTTTTATAGCTAAATCTAATATCTATAGCTAAATTTTAATACTTATAGCTAAATTTTAGACTTAAATTAAAGCTAAAATTAAACGCTTATAGTTAGAATTAATTACTAAATTAAGCACTTAAAATAAGTACTTCTATAGCTAGAGATTAGTGCCTCTATAGCTAAAAAAAAGCGCTTTTATAGCTAAATCTAATATCTATAGCTAAATTTTAATATCTATAGCTAAATTTTAAACTTAAATTAAAGCTAAAATTAGATATTTATAGTTAGAATTAATTACTAAATTAAGTACTTAAAATAGATACTTCTAGTATTAAATTTAGTACCTTTATAGCTATATATACTCTATTATACTTAGTATTAGTAGCTAGCTAATCTAGAATATTATTTCTTTAGCTCTAGAGCGCACTAGCTCTACTTTCTTTTATTATATTTTACTACTTAATATTTTTACTTTTCTATTTATTTTCTTACTAAATTACGCCTTAAGTACTTACTTTATCTTACTATAGTATACTATTTTTATATTTACTTACTTATACTCTCTTTTCTACTAGAATTATATTAACTAAGTATACTTACTTTAAAATTAACGCGTCTCTACTATAGATATAAGCTCTACTACTACTTTAATCTACTTTTTTACTACTTCTATACTTTTATAAAAAGCTTAGAGTACCTAATTTCTTTAAGTCTAGTAGTAGTATAATAACTACTAGCTCTTCTATATACTAAAGTACTACTAGCTTTTCTAAATAATAAAGTACTACTAGCTTTTCTAAACTATAGAGTACTACTAGCTTTTATAAATACTAAAGTACTACTAGCTTTTCTAAACTATAGAGTACTACTAGCTTTTATAAATACTAAAGCATCTTACTTTCTACTATACTTTTCTACACTAGCACTATTACTATATACTATAGTAATCTTATATAGATAGCTAAGTAGCTATTCTATAAATTTAAAAAAAGTACTATTTATATTAGGTCTCTTATATAGCTTATTTACTACTATACTAAGAAGATTATAGTTATTTATAAAAAAAAAGAATATCTTAAGAAATTAGCTATATACTATAAGTAAGAGGTAACTAAAGCTAAGAGTAAAGTTAAATTATACTATAATAAAGTATAGAGTATATATAGAAATAGTAAGTAAGAGATCTTAAGAGTTAAGTCTACTATAAATAAAAAAGACTTTTTTAGTTACTTTTTTAAATAGATATCTACTACTACTATAATTACTTACTTATATATTTAGTACTAAAAGAATTATAATTAAAATTATATTACTTCTATCTTTTTAGAATTTACTATCTACGTACTATTACTTTATTATATATAATATAGTAGTATAGCTACTACGCGTCTACGCGCTTTAAATACACTAATTCTAAAGTAGATTATTTCTAATACTTTAATAAACTAAATATTTAGCTTATAAGTAAAGCTACTATTATTATTATATAGTAAAGTATATAGTACTAAAAGAATTATAATTAAAATTATATTACTTTTATATTTTTAGAAATTAGACTTTATATACTTTTATAGTATTATATACCTTATAGTAGTTTAGCTACTATACGCCTATACGCTTTATATATACTAATTCTAAAGTAAGTTATATTAAATACTTTTTATCTATTAGTATTAGATATATAGACTTTAAGTTAAAGTCTGCTATAAGTAGTTTATGCTACTCTAGTTTTTAGTACTTACTTAGGTTAAAGTCTATAAGATTCTCTAGATAATGTCTAGGTTAAAGTTCTAAACTTTAATTATTTTATAGGTATTCTATAACTACTAATTCTTTTAACTTTATATAAAGTAGATATACTTCTATATAAGTAATAATATACTTATACGTTCTATATAATTCTAACTATAGAGTAAGATACCTGCTAGCCTGTAGTTAGAGTGCACATAAGTACTAAGAACTATTTACTTCTTATCTAGATATAAAACCTTTACTATTTAACTTTAATATTAAACTTTACTATCTAGACTAGATATAAAACTTTTCTACCTCTATATAATACGTACTTTTAGTATCTATACCTAACGTAAATCTATTATATTTATTTAAGTAACAAAACCTTTATTTTAAATATTACTATATCTAAGTATAAACTTATTATAAAATTTATTACCTTAGTTTTTCTATTCTACGCGCGTAATAAGTAGGCTAGAGTCTATAATAAGATATAATATATTATACGTATATAATAGTAGCATATTACGTAAAGAGTATATTAAAATAGATAGATTTAGTTTACGTTAGGTTATTTTGTATATAAAGGTTCTTATAGAAGGTAGAAGATACACTAAAATATAACTACTACATATATAGAAGAAAGTCTATATTACGTAAGTGTAATATATATTCTAGAATAGAGTTATTATTTCTCTATTCTAGCTACTATATACTAAAGCTTATTAATTATCTTCTACTTTACTATTAATAGTAAGTATACTGTTAGTATCTAAATTAGTGTTATTAACTTTAGTAGTATTATTAGCGTTAATAATAGTTCTATAGCTTTTAGCAATCTTATAAAGTATACTTTTACTTACTTTAATATAACTATAGAGTTAAGCTACTTCTACTTTAGCTATATTAACTTTATCTAAAGCTCTAGCTGTTTTTAGCCTTTCTATTATAATATTACTTTATAGCGCTACTACTATCTTCTCTAAGTAGACTATTTCTACTTAAGTATAATATAACTCTTTTTAATCTATATATAGCTTTTCTACTAGGCCTTTTACGCGCTTAAACTCTACTTTAATTTCTATAGAAATATACTTAAAGCTTAATATTCTATAGTAAGTATATACTAACTTTTTACTATTCTAAACTAAAGTAAAAGTAGCAACGCGTTTTAATAACTACATAGAAAGAGATAATTAGTATAAAGTATAGACGTAAATAATATTCTTAATAGATACGTCTTTTAATAGCGTAGTAGTACGTATAGTATATTTATACTTAGCTAAGGTAAAACTATCTAGTAGCTTTCTCTTACTTTAGAGAGGCTCTACTATACCTACAGCTCTAGTTCTAGACGCTATATCTATTTAGTTATAGTAGACTAGAATATTAGTAAATATTACTAGCGTAGAGCTTTATTACTTATAAGATAATTATAGATATATAATAATAGAAAAAGATATAGTAGATATA